AAAATTGTTAATGATGAGATTGAGACCATATGCCATTTTTAAGGAAAATCTAACCTGTGAGTTTAAGTCCTCTAAGAAGCCTCATATGGTAACTTGGAAGACTGCTCATCAATCGGGAAGACAAGGTATAGACTATTTCCAACCCACTGCCATGTTTTCCAAACAAGCTCCATGAGTAACCTAAACAAATAATAAATCATTAATATGTGTCTCCACACATGTGACTTGTGAATGTGAACTTTCACTACATTCTTAGAGAGGAAAGGTATTCACCTCTTTGCAACATTTCATGACACCAAAAAGAAACAACTCAGCCAACTTGTAGGAAGCCATAAAATTATGCTAATTTTTATACATCCCCTTGTACAAACTTTAAGCTTAATAACCTGAAGTAAACAAGAACCATCATCAACCAAGATATGTACTGTTACCAAAAAAATAAAATCAAAATATCTGACAGCAGCATATAATTTTTCCAACCCACTGCCATGTTTTTCAAATAAACTCTTCATGTAACCTAAACAAATTGCAATCCTGAGTATGTTTCTCCATGCTTGTGACTTGTGAATGTGAACTTTAACTGCATTCTTGGAAAGGAAAAATTCACCTCTTTGCACAATTCATGATCATGACACCAAAAAGTTTTGTAGGAAACCTGAAAATCATACCAATTTTTATCAGAAACTTTTGTACAAAACTTTTAGATTATGAACAAAAGAAAGCATACCCAGAAACCTAAAAACTTCCTCTCCTTGAGGCCTTACCAGAGCTAGCATACCTGGCGATTAAAGGGGGTTCATTTTCAGTCAAGCTTACCCCAAAACCAAATTATAAAAAGAACAAAATATAAAACAGAAAAAATTCAATAAAACCCTTATGAATACATAGAAATTAAGAAGCATAACAAAACGAAGAGAGTGGAATGGAATAATCAAGTCAAAATACCTAGTGTTTGGATGTTTCACACTTTCTTTGAGGTCTGATTCTTCAGTTTAGCACGTATTTTTCCAGCCAATCTTTTCGTTATTGAGTAAGGGCTTTTACCGGAACATGTTGTCGGTGGCTTGTGATTTATTGGGAAAGTTGATGATTTCTCTGGAACTACAGAAATTGTTTCCTTCAGCAACTAAAATAATACAGGATTGCAAATTATAGAAAAATTATAAATAAAAAAGGTTGTCCGGATAAAGTTAAATAAAAAATATATCAAAAAATCAAATAAAAAAAATACTATTAATGTTCCTCCAACCACAGATAATAAACAATCTTATGACCCACAATTTTATCTTATTAAATGAGAAAAATGGAATATGAATCCAAACACAAAAACTAAATAGAGTTACAATAAGTCAAAATAGAGATAGTGAAATCTAAACACTTACTGGTTGGAGCTTTTGAGGGAGCAGAGGCTGGGGATATCTTTGTCTTCTAGAATATACCCACTTAGGGTTTCCGTCTCAAACACATCCATCTCTTTCTCTTCTAGAATACCCAAATTGTTTTCGTTGGGGGAGGAATGAAGGAACTGTGGAAATGCTTTTAGTGGCATGTGTTATTGAGGTGGCACATGGCTTTACATTTGTAGTTTGCAGCTCTTCACTTCAATCTACACATTATTTCCCAAATTTTCAGCAACTTACTATAATATATTACCAAAGCAAATTCAAATTAGAATTAAATAGTAGGAAATCGATCAACACCTTACCTTCAATCCCACGGTTATGTTCAATATTTCAAGAAGGGTTGAAGGACGTTCTTAGCGTTAGGATGATCCCACTCCACTGATTCCCACCATTCTTTTGAAATTTCATGTATCTCGATTTTTTTGAGATGAGGAGGAGGAGATGGTTGGCCGTTATCAAGTTGGGGAAGTTGCACAGGGATCCTTTTTAACTTCGGACATTGACCTATTACAATTGCTTCAATAGAATTACAAACCATAACTCCTTTGGCACTGCAGATACTCTTCAATTGGGGTAAGAACACCAAGCGCAATTCCCTTAACTTAGGAAAAGTGAAAGTGAATTTATCCGATGATGATGCATCCGAATCTAATGATGCTATTATCTCCTCCATTTGATCGCATAAAACAACTTCAATCTGCTCTAAGTTTTGGAAGGTCTGTAGTAGCTCAAGTGGAAGCAACTTCCTTATTCCCGAACATTGGAATAGACAAAGCTTTTTAAGATTGGAAAAGACGTGCGGTGGTGTTGCTTCTCCTTCCACTCTCACAAGTTCACACAACCTAGGCAATTTACAAAGCGACAGCTCTTCAAGCTTATCAAATACAGAACAACGCAGTAAGGAGGAGGAGGAGGATGAGTCCAACTCAAGCACGCACTCTATCTCTTGACAAAAGCGAATATAGCACATCCTCAACTCATTTGCTTTTTCTAACAGAGCTATTTTGCTTAAGCTGCTTCCCATGTTTTTAAGCCCCATTATCCACAAATCTTCAAGCTTATTTGGAAGCACTATACATTCTTCCTCGATCTCGCAATCAGTAATTACAAGCTCATGTTTGCTCCTTCTAAGCATGTCTTTTGCACTCCCAACTACAAGACTGTAAGCAATAGCCCTTTGGAAATCTTTAAACTTGTTGACAAAAGAATTGAAGTGTTGTATGTCGTCAAAGTTACATTCTAAAGTCTCCAACTTCTTCAGTCTAGCAACCTCTTCAAGATTTCTCACTATTGTAGTTTCTCGCAAAAAACAAACAGCCAAATACTGGAGACTGGAAAGGTTAAGTAATATTCCTGTTTGAATCTCTTTCAGATTTGGACAAAATAACAAATCAAGATATTCAAGACTTATCAACATCTCCATGCCTTGTGGGAGCACCTCAATCCCTGCCTTGTGCAGGTCCAACTTCTTCAATCCCTTGAGGTTTGCCAAGGAAGGCAAGTACTTTAACTTCTTGCAAAGTTGTAACCGCAGGGTAGATAGATTCTTCAATTCAGAGATGGAATTAGGTAGTGTCTCAATAGCAGTGCCAGAGAGATCAAGAACCTTCAAAGTAAGCATCTCCCCAAAAAAAGATTCTGGAATCTCTGACAAATTAGGATTACTTGATAATATCAAAGTCGAAAGAGTCGAACATTTTGGGGATAAACTAAAAGGAACTTTTAAAATGTTATTTTCCATTAGAGACAACTTCTTAGGATCTTTTACCCAACCATGCTCATCTGGTAGCTCTACCAAATTCATACCAGCTTTTATCATATATCCAAATTCAGGACCAATGCTTATGATAGCCATATCTCTCACTACATCATGCATCTTAGCCCCAGGTATACGTTCTACATATCCACCAAATCCAACTGGCCTAGAATCTTTCTCTAATAAGAAATTTTTTTCAAGCCTATCTATAATAGCATGGCCCCTATCATAAGCTGCTTCTCTCCTAGGCAACCCATCAAATATTCCTTCATCAATCCAACATTCTATCAACTCCCTTCTAGAAAACACATAATCCTCCTTAAAGAAGGAGCAATAAAGAAAACAATTCTTGACTTCCAAATTATCCAACCTATCAAAACTAAACCTTAGTCGCTTAAATATCTCATCATTTGAATCTTTCACACTCTTTACACGATCTCCTAATTCAGCCAATGCATTTCTCCACACATTAACATCATCAACTCCCCTCATGCTCCCAGCTATCACAACAATGGCCAGTGGTAAGCCTGCACACTCTTCCATAATAAGCTCTAAGATTTCTTCCAACCCTGGAACTTCTAAAACAACATCCCCAACTGTATTGAGGAATAAATTTAGAGACTCCTCTTGTGAAAGAGGTTGCACTTTAACAATCTTACAACTCAAATAACTGCATACTTCAATTGATCTACTAGTGACAACTACTTTGCACCCATTCTGCGCCTTAGTGGGTAACAAATTTAAAAATGAATATCCAAAACTCTAAACCTCTTCAATTTATAGAAATTCTTAATTTGATTTTAGGGTTTCTAAATTTTTTATTTTCAATAGTTGCAAAACTTTTAGAAACCAAAACTGAAAACTCAAAACCAAAACCATAGTATGATTATAGTTTTTGGTTTAACTAAATTAACTCAAATAACAAAAAATGTAGCTCATATTAGCATTTGAGTAGGCAAATTTTGCAACTATTGAAAAATCTAAACTAAAAATAAAAAACTAACAATTTATTTAAGACGAATTTTAATATTGACTACAAAAACCATAAACTTATATAATAGTGTTAAACTATTTTTGTTCTTACTTTAAATAATTTTGATAATATGTTATAAAAATACATGAAAGTAATTATAGGTTTAATTTTTATTTGAAGTTGTAAAATTTATATAAATCAAAATAAAAAATAAAAAATCATAACCATTAGATTTGTTAATGATTTGTTAACGAGTCGGTGAATTTGACACTAGCATTTTGATTACTCAAATAAAGCTGATTAATAAAAATGCTGATAATGGACTCAAATAAAATTTGCTGAATATGGTTTTATCCAAATTAAACCGAAGCATAAAAAAAAAAAAAAAAAAAAAAAAAACCCTCGAGATTTGGATTAATTTAATTATAATTGAATTATGCTCAAAGCAACAGATAATATAAAAAGGTGAACTACATAAGTTAATAGGTTAATGATTTCATATCTACTTTTTTTATTTTATATACTTAAAAAAAACGAAAAAAAAAAACTTTGATGTGAGGGTTTCAAACCTCTACCCTAACAAATAGTTAATTTTTCAATATACCAAATAAATATATACATATACCTCAACAAAATTTTATATGAATCAAGATTTAAAATTTAGATTGTATACCTGCAGTTTCAACAAATGAATGAAATTGAAGAAATTAGGGATGATGATGACCAAATTAAACTAAGTAAAGTACACACACCAGTAGATCTACTTAATTGTAAACTTATTTTTTTGTAAGTAGATGGTTGATGAATATTTCTTGAAATTAGAACAAGTTTCAAATATGATCAATAAAAGAATAACTCATAAGATTTATTAAGTAGCCATATATTAATTAGGTAAAAATAAATTTAAAGATAAAAAAATTTAACAATTTACTAAGAAACAATTTAAAAATGAGGAATCTAACAACAAGTATTGAAAATAAGGTTATTCATCCAAAAAAAATAAATTTTTTTCATTTAACACATTCTTTAAAAATAATATAAATGCGCATAATCATAATTGAAGATCTTAATAGATAGTATACCTACAAGTTCAATGGAAGAAATCGAAGAAAGAGGAAACTGGTAATCCAAATAGTTAGGCCAAGCAAATTGGAGGCAACCGCACGCACTCAACTGCAAGCCAAATTGTGTCCGATGATAAGAAAAGGTGAGACGGTCAAGGAGAAGAGCAAACTTTAAAGAAGTGATATTGCTGGATATTTCCTGGAAGATGCTTGGCGATATGGCAGTGAAATGAATATCTGTAAAGTGGTCCAAAAAGGAACAATTAGTGTCAGGGTATTCCAGTATTTGAATTAAGTAGGCAAGTTGAAACCAATTACAAGAGAGGTTGGTGCAATCTTTTCAAAAGTCCAAAAATTAATTTATTATTATAAAGTGATCAATAACTATATAACATTATAAAATTAAAAGAAAGACTTAGTGGAAGACTAAATAGAAGACTATATACATAAAAAATGGAGCCGTGAATATTACCCTGAGAACAGTGGGAACGAGAGGATAGCTCGCCTACAGTGCCTCGCTACTTTTTTGCCTTTCCGTGTTCATTTTAAAAAAAGTTTCTTTCTCAACTTTAGATTCCTATCTAATCTTTTTCTTTTTCCTTCATTTTTCTCTGAAGATGCTTGGAGATGTGGCAGTGAATTGAATACATGCAATGTGATCCAAAAGCTACAATTAGAATAAGGGTATTACAGTAATTGAATGAATTAGGCAACTTGAAACCAATTACAAGGGAGGTTTCATTGCCTATTTTCCAAAAAAAAATTATGAGAGAGGTTGGTGCAATCTTTTCACTAAGATGCTTGACAAAAGTGCAAAAACTAATTTATTATTATATAGTGATCAATAATTATATACCATTATAAAATTAAAAGAAAGACTAAGTGGAAGACTTAATAATGGCTTAATGGAAGTCTATACATCAAAAAAAGAGCCGTGATTATTGTTACCCTTAGAATAGTGGGAGCGAGGGGAAAGCTCGGAGCCTTCAATGCCTCGCTTCTTCTGGGTTTCCATTTTTCTTTTAAAAAAGTTTATCTTTTTCTTTTTTTTTGGTTTCCCGCCCGGTATACGGGGTTTCGCCCCGACTAATCCGGACTTGACTTGGGTCGCGCACCTGAAAATGGTGGGTGAGTCTCCCAACGAAAGCTGCTGCATACGCAAGGACTCGAACTCGAGACCTTACTTAAACTGGAACAAGCCGCTTCCCACTTGATCCAACCCTTCGTTGGTTAA